ATCACCCTTCTAGAGTCAGATATGAGAACTTGCCTTTAGAAAAATGCTTCTGTGCTCATGTATGCCGTCACGCTCCAGTGCAGCAAGCATGAGGACCTCTTCAACATCATCTAGGAATCCCTGCTTGAGGAGGTCCTGTACTCTCTCAGTCAATCTTGACAGAAGATTTTATTTTTTTCAGAAGTGCAATTAGAAAGGACAAGAAATCAACTAGTTGCCCATCCACAGATGAACACATATAAAATGTCACAGTGCACACAATGGAAATTTTTTCAGCAGGAATCTGCAGGAATGTGGGTAGTTTTGAAAGCTTAAAATAAACAGAAGTCACCCAAACTCAGAAAACAAAAACTCTAAAGGAAAGCAAGAAAGAGCACAAAAGGTGATGAGGAAGGATGGGGAGTGGGTAAAAGGACACAGATGACATGAAAGATATTAAGAGACTGGGGAAGGTTGCAAGAGAGGGTTATGGGAAGCGGGAAGGTAGGGTAAGAAGAGGGGGAAGGAAAGTCTACTGAAATACATCGTGCTCTAGAATACCACAATGATATCTAACACCTTGTATTCTAATTTTAAAATTATTAATATAAAAGTACAATTGGCACCTGTGCAGTCTCACTTTCTTGCAGCCCCAGCATTATGGAGTCGGAAGCAGGAGGGAAGTATCACACGTCTTACAACAGTCTGGGCCACATGCTCCGAAAATGCACTGAATATAACAAGAAAAATAATTTTTTTTTCTGTTTTCTATATTTAAAAATATTGATTGTAAGCTGGGGAGGAGGTTCTGTGTGTAAAGCACACAAGAGTGCAAGCTTCAGTTTGGATTCCCAGCGCACACAGAAAAGCTGGGTGTGGCAGCAGGCATCTGCAGCTTCGGTTCTGAGGGCTTGAGGCAGCCAGGTTCCCAGAGTGCACCACCGACAGCCATTCCAGCTGAGTCAGTGAATTCCAGGCTCAGTGAGAGAGACCTTCCTTAGAGCAAAAAGCAAGATGGATATTTATAGAGGAAGATCTTCCATGTCGACCTCTGACCTCCAGTGTACACATTAACCTGCATACACACAGACACGTGCACACAACACACACACACACACTCACAAAATAACCATTACATTACATATGCTGGAATATAACAAAAACATCTAGTTCAGTACCATTAAAAAGTAGAAATCAGGCTTAAAAACTCAGTTTTTCTAATTTTTAAAGCCAAGGGAAATTAGACATTTTCTTGTTAATAATGTTAAAAAAATGTTAATAACTTACTGATTCTTTCCCTCAGGCTGGATTAAAACCAGTTGGCCTATTCATACCCATTTTCTTATATTCATAGAAGTTTCTAGTCCATAGACAGAAAATTACCCTGACACACGTTTGATGAATAAATGACAAATACACTTTGCAGAGGATAAAACTGCACTTCTGTAAAGAAAAGCCTTGTGCTGCTGTGCACAGAGCTCATAGCAGAAAACTGACAGGCATGGGCTTCTGTGAGACTAGTAGGCCACACACGCTGCAGTCCAGCCTTCACCATGGGCAGTTTAAAGGAATGACTATGAAATAGTCGTTACGAGGATGTGAACAAAACATGGCTACACATATGTCCACTTTATGTTAAGCCCTTAAAGAAATCAGGAGGAGTAAGGATGCTTTCTGACTTGCTTCATTATTTAAATGACTTTTTTTTTAAATCTGAGGCCTGTTTTCTAAAGTGGAATATACTCTGCCACACCGAAAAACTACGTCAGGCCAGTGGGAATCAAAGAGTTAAAACTCAGTGACCCTACACTGAGCTTGCTCATAGAGCTCTTGGGTCTTCTGACTGCCTGGAGTACCTGTCTAAGAGCCAGGAAACAAACAAACAAACAAACAAACAAAAGAAACAAAAACAGCTCTGAGGAATCCCCAACATCCGCAAAAGAACTGTGTTCTGTGGTTTTGCTGCTGCAGATTCTACCCTGTTGCCCTTTGCCACAGAAGCTCAGAAAATAACAGCACTCGAGCCTTCATTTTTGAACTTGGGGCCTTCATTCTGTTACAAAAACCCAGGTCAAAATCATGCCAAAATTGTCTGCACCTAATTTCTGTTATCAATATATGAGCACTTACTCACTGAAAGCTTGAAATGATAGATTGACAGGCACTGGACACTTCAAAAAAAAATTGTAAAATTTCAAGATGACAGAAACGACAAAACTGTTAACAAAGGAATCATAGCAGTTAAATTAGAATGGAATCGATTTAGAGAGGGAAAGTTTGGTATAAACGCAAAACTGTGAAATGGGAGGAAACAAGATAGAGAGGGTGACAACTTCCTGGCCAAGGTGCTGAGTATCTGTGTAGAAACCTGCCTGGAGCCTTGGTGTTGATACGCTTACTTAGCAGAGATTAGAAGAGCCACTCTGGTGGGGGATACAGACACCACAGGCATTTGCATACCTGGAACTACGCTAGGAAATGCATGACAACATTTCTTGAAAAGTTATTGTATAAACACACCGAATTCTTGCTAAATCCTCACCTAACAATTATTAATCCTCACCCCACCTTTTAATTTTAAGAATAAAGAAATCCTGGATGTTTAAAATAATAATAGACAATCAAAATACTTGAATACTCTCTGTCCTCCAGCCTCATCACTACCAAAGGTTTGCCTTTCTTTCATGTTACCGGCAAGAATAGAAAAGCCACTCATCTTTCACTAATCTTTTTTATTTTTAATGCACATGTAATGATAAAATATAGGATTGGACTTTCACATGTGCTCTGCTGGTGATAATTTTCTAGAGATACACCAGATCAAGTTGTCCCTGGCTTTCGAATTTTGTGACTATGACACATTTAATACAATGTAGCTCCTGGGGACTTAGAACGTGCAACCTGGGAAACTCAAGGCAGCTCTGAATTCTTTGCCACTCAGGACTCTGACGTTTTCCCTCCTTCACACTTAGAAATTAAATCACACACAAGGACACTGAACTTCTGAATCTGGCCTTTCTATTGAAATTCTTGCTGATACAAAATCACATTTCAATTTTTGAACCAAAAGTTACATGGAATATTATATTTAACACATAACTAGTAAAAAACATTCAGCTGCAAATTCTAAAATGACTGATGTGACGAGTTTTACTTTAAAATACGAGCTAGGGCTACCTACCCATTTTAACCTATAAATTAATAAGTTTACTATTGTTTTAATTTTACACTTTTATTACTCCTTCTGTAAGAGGAGCAAACTATGTACTTTTACCTAGCATCTTTCTTTTTGTCGACCCTCTATCTTTTCTAAAACTGTTCAGGAAAGGACAGCTAAACTTTTTAAAGCGGGTAGAAAGGAATAAGGGGAAAGAGGAACACAGTTGAATCTGGGTAACGCTTTGGTGCCAATTTGGATCCAAAGTGTATTAAAGCGGCAGAATTCTAAACCTTTCAAAGGTGGGATTTATAAGGGGAGTGCTAACACAGACTCAATGGTGCCAGGCTTCCAGGGATTACACTAAGACCAAAAGCATGCTCTTTCTCGTTAGAGCAGGAGATTATGCAGCTGTCAAACAATAAGGCTTGTGTTTACTTGTTTATTTTTTTCATTTTTCCAAAAGTTACGCCTTAACAGGCGTTCCTAAAATAATCTGTCTGTTCTGGAAGGAGGCATCTCAGAGGAAGTAAGAAAGGAGAGGACAGTAGGGTTGGTCTTGAGCTTTGCATCCTGTTTTGTGAGAAGAGCTTTGCCAGCTCTGGTTAACTGCTTCTGTCCTGCTTAGTTGAAAAGACACCAGGAAGGGGGAATGAGGAAAAGGGGAAATTTACCTGCTAAGGAAAAAACAGGACGCTGATGTTAAAACACTAAAAAATGTAAATCAATGTGGGTCTAGAGGAAACAAAGTTGCAAGGATATAACTGGTAGGACAGAGAAAAAATATTGAAAGCTCCAAAATATACGAAAGCTAAATCTTTGATTAAAAAAAAAAGTTCTGCAGAATGTCAATGAGAGAAAAGCTGCAAATGTAAGTGATGGTTTTTCTGTTTATCACTTCTGAAGGGAGAAGGCAAAAGCAGGTTAACACCAGGAGACCGGGGAGAGTAACTGCGTGGAGTTAGTGGCTCAGTGGAGGGCACAAACATGCAGCTTCAAATCTAACCAAAGACTTAATGTAGCTCAGCAATTGTTCTATGTAGGGTTCTGCCTGCATCTATTCTCTCTGTAAAGTTTCAGAAAAGACAGCACCAAGTGTAATGGAGCATTTGAAGATGTCTTTCACAGACCCTGGATGGAGAAACTAATATTCTGAAATTCTAAGAAGCAAAGAAGTCTGAAGTAGAAGAACACACACGACACATACACACACATAAGTTACATGCTATAAAGCAAAACAGGGAAATAAGGAGCCTTTTGCTGACCCATTTCTCGACCTTAATCTTGGTTTCATTCAGCACCCAAGCCCAGCTTCTAGCTCCCATGCAAGCTCTCCTTCCCTGGTACCCAGATGCACCGAGGAGGAGCTGGTGATCTTTACAAAACAACAACCCCACAAACAACAGAAACCTCTCTCACACACACAAAAGCCCACCTTGCAAATGAATGGAATATTAACGACTGCCTAACAGTTGCACCATTGGCAGGGCGAAACCCATCACTGATACAGCTCTTTCTACAGATTGCCAGTGAGACCCGAGCAGCTAGAAGAGAAACGCACCTACTGTATGTGAAAGGCTGGTACAGATTTTTTTCCCTATCAGTCTAACCTCCTGTGTTGATGCATGAATGCTGGTACCCACTTACAGGGATGCCAGATGATCAGTGCAGAATGAAGGTCCCCAGAGAGGATCACATGGCTCTCTCTGCCCTGTGACGTCACTAGCAGATGGCATGGGTACCAGCTCTGGCAGTTGGCATCAATGTCACTTTTTAGAGATCAATGAGATAGTGCAGATACACACAGATCTAGAGGCTCCAGGAGACGATGCGACACTCAGCCTGAAAAGATTTGGAAGATCCAAAATGAAAACTGATTATTGAATGAAATTAAAACCTAAGGTAATATAAATAAAGATATACTCAATTGATGCTGGCTTTGCATGCAAGTATTTAAAGATACAGTATCACTGTCTTAGAGTATTTCTATGTTCTTTGCCATCTATAAGTTCTTATCATATTTCATTCTTATGATGTAATTATCACATACTTTCACTGCTATTATGTAACATTGCAAATGTGTGGACATTGTGTGTGTGTGTGTGTGTGTGTAGTGAGGGGCTTGAAACTGTTAAATCAAAAGTCTCTGTATTAATATGCTATTTGGTTGAAGACTTAGATAAAAATATTTGCTGCTTCACCTAACAAAAACAAAAATGCATTTTAAACACAAATTATTTGCCCCTTTCATTTGGGATTCTGAACACACGTGCACAATTGCAGGCAGAATTCTTGGACCGTTCCTGTCCGATATTAGCTGGAGGGAGACTTCCGTGGCTCTTAGAACAAAAACACTAGGAGCGGAACAGCAGTAAACAGACAATTACATTGGGGGAATTCTTAGATGTTAAAGCAGTCGAAACATTTGCTTTGATTAGAAAAAAAATTGCCAGCAATGTTTGTAGGTTTTTTTTATTTGTTTATAGTTTTATTTTCAAATTAGCCTAATCTTTTCCTTGAGGCTAAGAAAACAGCACTCTTTTACATAGTTCTTTACCTATCAGGAAAAAAAAAACAATTTTAAATTTGATCTGATTCATCTTTTCTTTAAATTTGTGTATTCTGCAACCACCTATCAAAATTCTCAGTTTGAGGTTTACGGATAATAAAGTTGGGGATTAATTTTTTTTCTAACAAAACCCTCCAAATTTGTCAGCTTAAGGGAGAGAGAGTACCTTTCGTTTTAAAAATTGGTTTCTCTTCTATTTTGTTCTCAGGAGAATTAGAATTAATGAAAGTCTGCATTATTATATCATGCTTTTATTTGCTTTAACTCCACTCCGTGTGTGCTGAAAATCCAGTTTAAAATCCAAGAGAGATAGGAAATGTGATGATTTCTATTAAGTATTTCCTTTTGATAATTATAAATTGCATGTATAAATTGATGCTACTGTATAGATCAATGCCATTATGATTGTTAATCTGCACAAATTCAATTTTTTTTTTATTTAATGTAAATACAAGTCCTGGAATAAGTCTTTTTCATGTGCTCTCAGAGTCTTATGATTGAGTCCTCGAGTATATTTGAAGTACATCAACTCCAAAAATGAAAACACCTTAAATACTGTGCTGGCATTTTTTCCAGGTAATTTAAGGTTAAAGAACCATGTTAACACTACCGTTTGACGAGTCTGTCGTAATGCCTGAATCCCAGATGTGCAGAAAGTTTGCTAGACAATGCGAGGACCAGAAACAAATTAAGAAACCAGAAAGCTTTCCAAAACAAGTTGTCCTTCGAGGAAAGAGCATCAAAAGGGCCCCTGGAGAAGAGACAGAGAAAGAGGAGGAGGAGGAAGACAGAGAAGAAGAAGATGAAAATGGCTTGCCTAGAAGGAGGGGTCTCAGGAAAAAAAAGACCACCAAACTACGATTGGAAAGGGTCAAGTTCAGGAGACAGGAAGCCAACGCACGTGAGAGGAACCGGATGCACGGCCTCAATGACGCGCTGGACAATTTGCGAAAAGTGGTCCCCTGTTACTCTAAAACCCAAAAACTGTCCAAAATAGAAACTTTACGGCTGGCCAAAAATTACATCTGGGCACTTTCTGAAATTCTGAGGATTGGCAAGAGACCAGATCTGCTCACGTTCGTCCAAAACTTATGCAAAGGTCTTTCCCAGCCAACTACAAACTTGGTGGCAGGCTGCTTACAGCTCAACGCCAGGAGTTTCCTGATGGGTCAGGGTGGGGAGGCTGCGCATCACACAAGGTCACCCTACTCCTCATTCTACCCACCCTACCACAGCCCTGAGCTGGCCACTCCCCCAGGGCATGGGACTCTTGATAATTCCAAGTCCATGAAACCCTACAATTACTGCAGTGCGTACGAATCCTTCTATGAAAGTACTTCCCCTGAGTGTGCCAGCCCTCAGTTTGAAGGTCCCTTAAGTCCTCCCCCAATTAACTATAATGGGATATTTTCCCTGAAGCAAGAAGAAACCTTGGACTATGGCAAAAATTACAATTATGGCATGCATTACTGTGCAGTGCCACCCAGGGGTCCCCTTGGGCAGGGTGCCATGTTCAGGTTGCCCACCGACAGCCACTTCCCTTACGACTTACATCTGCGCAGCCAGTCTCTCACTATGCAAGACGAATTAAATGCAGTTTTTCATAATTAATGAGGAAAATGAAAATAAACAGTGGTCATTCACCTCCCACTCTAATTAAGACAAAGCAGATGCTTGCGGGCTGAGTAATTGGCACAACTCTATCTAAGGTGTTTACTAGTTTCTGAAGTGTGTTTCAATGATTGTGAACATTTTCTATCTCCTAATAAATCTTTTCATATGAGAACTTCTTAGCCTTTTGTCTGTATCACACTGTGATTCTCTCTCTATTGGCAGGATTTTTCTTGTTTTAGTTTCTTTTAAATTCACTTAATTTGTTTGAACAAGAAGGTCTCTAAGAATATATTGCTGGATAAAGACATGCACACAGCAGAACTCAATGTCTATTTCAGTTGTACAGTAATTATGAAAATGCATGTTATAAAATCAGACGAGTAAAATGTGTTATAATTACTAGGACTCATATATGTATCTCTGAAATTTTAGTTTTTAAAATATCGAGATAACCATGAGATTAAAAGATGCATTTGAGGATTACAACAGTATTAAAAGCTATGCAATTTTCTGTTTATTTAGGACAAAACTAAATGTATTCTGTTGGTAACAAATATTCCTCTTCAAACATTTGCAGAGGAGGAAACACAGTATTTGGGGGAGGTTATCAGTATTATAATTTGGGGACAATTAATTCAATGAAGAAAAAATATTAGCACTTGTTTTGTATTGTTCGGGATTTTTTCTGTACAGGTTTGTTACAGTGTATAATTGTGTTTTCCATCCTACAGTTTAAAAGCAATTAAACATAGATATTTCCACTTACAAAGGGTATCTATTAGCATGGTATTTTTGCATGATACTTATTATTTCCTGGCACACAGCTGCTTTCAGACTCCATTGCTCCCCCCTTCCCACTTCAGAAATATTTCTGGATTAAATGGTAAGGGCTCAAACAAACTTCTTTAAAAAAACAAAAGAAATCGCCAAAGCGTTTTCCAAAATTTTCTTTTGAAAAGTATCTTAAATGAAAGAAAAGGCGCCCTGTCAGGGGAAACACCCTGGGGAAACAATGGTAAATTCTGCTAACCTTCAACTCGAGCCTAAATTCGGTGGCAGTTTTCCAGCAGCCCCCAGAGCCGGTGTTAAAAGCGGAAGCTTTTTCTCTGGGCCTTTTAAACGCCTGGCCGATTAAAACCTAAATTCTGTGTGATTAAAAGTTTCCTAACAAAACGCAAGCAAAAACTTCAGTTTAATGTGCCTGGAGAGCTAGCTTCTTAAAACAGGGCTGAGCCGCTCCTGGAATAAAGGGCAAGATGGTGGTGACCTCGTCCCAGATGCCGTCTGGGGGCAGGGCTGCTTCCCAGGGTGCAGGGCCTGAGAAGGGCAGCAGGACAAGCTTGCTGCAGCACAGGACCCCCGCGGGCACCGCCGGAGGCAGCGCAGGCCCAAGTGGCCTGTAGGGCAGCACTGGAGGACGCAGGTGACCTCCTGCTGCCTTGGTGGCCTCCAGGGCTCGGGCTGCGCTGCCTGAGTTCCGCCCGCAGTGGGCGCCCTGCAGCCCGGGGCCGCGCCCGTCTAGCGGGCATCGCAGCCTGGGCGGGTAGACATTCCCTACACTCCCGTCCTGCTGCTGAGGTGGGAAGGGGGTAGCACCTCCATTTGGCGTTCTGCCGCAAGTGGAACTCGAGGCTGGGCACCAGCTCCAGCTCTCCCAGGTCCTACCCAGAGCTGACCCCAAGGCATGCAGACTATAGGCCCAGGCCGGCACCCCAGTCTCCAGAAGGCCTCAGTAGCCTTGTCCCTGCCATCCCCCTGCTGGAAGTCCGGGTCTTCGGTGACAGCAGCAGCCGCCTGCAAGCGGGGAAGGGGCTGAGCAGCTGCTGGCGCGGGACTCTCCGGTGGTGATGAAAGGCTCTTCCAAGCGGGTGTGTGAGCACCTGTTCACTCCATTCCCACGGGGCAGCAGGGGGGTGGGGGTGGGGGGACGAAGTAGTAGAGGGAATGTGCCCTGCCGGAGTGGAGAGAAGTTTGCCCAAGGTAGAGAGCCTTCTGTCCTCTCTGCCTGCCTGGGCACAGGAAGATTCAGCGCTCACTTCCTCCCATATGCGCACAAAACCTGCTCTCCCTGGGACCCGGTCCAGCAGTGCCGGACTCTCTGTGGCCCTTCACATGTTAGAAACCTGGTCACTGCTCACCCCATTTGAGCAAACAACAAAAACGTGAGGAGGCATCTGGAAAGGTTATTTCTGCCCCAACACCCAGGATCATTTTTTTTCGTGGCAGAATAGGTGTGGTTTTCTAGTTTCCTCTCCTCGCTGTGGTGTACCCAGTGGCCTGACATGAACGGCACAGGCGCCTGCTCAGAGTCTTGTTGGCTCGGGCAAGCGTTTGAAACCTGCGCTATTTCCAAGGTCACAGATTCTTGTTGGAAGCAGAGACAGCAACAGGAGATAGGTCTTCCGTCTCCCTTCTGGCAAGTGGGAGAGAAAAGAAGAGAAGCAGCTGGCGGAATGAGGAAAAATCCAGTGCTCTGGGCAAGCTTATCTCGGAGCTCAGTTCACAAGAAATTCCAGCTAGAGAGTGGGGATTTAGAAGCAGACCCAAGAGAACTGGAGGCATCTTTTAGAATCTGTACACATCCATCCTGTGTGTGCGTGCTCCCTGCATCCCTGACAGAAACAACCATGCTGTTGTGAGGTGTATGGCCATGATGGGTTAAGTCCATGCTTAGCATTTAAGTGCCGCTTCTGAACCCAGCACTAGAACCACCCGGCTGCTGCCATTACATGTCATTGTCCTTGGCCCTAAGTCGGTTTCCCTAATCAATTCACAGTGCTGGGAAATCCTGTGAGTCATTCAAACAACAAATCATGGATGCTATGCTGCAAAACTACTTTGAAAGGGGCCACCCCAGTGAAGAGGAGGACAGTAGGTTATAAAGGGTGTAGTTTAGGAGCCAGGAAGCATAATCCTTGCACTTTGCCTGAGGTACTGTGCCCTTCCAACACTCAACAGAAAAGATCATCCCTTCTTCTGAGCTCTTCATAGGTGCTGTCTTTCAAACAGACTAGGCATCTTCTCTTTGGGGCTAGATTTGGCCAGTGTGTCCCCGTTACAATCAAGAAGGAAAGAAAATGGCTAAAGGATACACACCCAAAGGATCACACACTTCATATGTAAGTATTTATAAAAGCCCCATGTTAAAACAACAAAAAAAAGTTTAGTTGGATATTGTTGTTCGCTAGTTGGTTATTGTTTTGCAGAGTATATCTCTACCTGGTCCTGCCAGTTAGATGGGACAAAATAAGATTGAAGAGACATCTAGCCATGCCTTTACCTCTGCTGTTGATCCAGTCAATTCCTTGTTCCCCTCTCTGGGACCTTATATCGCTACTCACCCCCCAAATCACCTTTCTGTTTTAACACTCTTGGACCATATATTTCTGTTACCAAATGGGTTCCCAGGATCTCCCAGCTTGTGGGTTCCAGGTAAGCATCATCTTTAAGTCCATGACCCAGAGCCTCCTATGCATTTCCAAGGCATGAAAAGAAAATGTGCCACCTGCCATTCATCTTGCACTCGCATTACTCAGGTTGACATTTCCTCTCGTAAAACATCATGAGGCTGATTTGGTAGGTACCAAATTGCCTGGAACTGACACCACTTTCTGGGAATTTGTGCCTTCCCATGAAACTGCTCTGTCTCTTTCATCACCTTTCTCTGAACTATAAGGAAGGACAAATTCTTACTTTGTAGAGAGGTGGTATTCAGGCTCCAACAACTGTTTGTTTGTTTGTTTGTTTGGATGGATGGTTTGTTGGTTGGTTGGATGGTTGATTGTTTGGCTGGCTGGTTTTGCTTTAACTATCAACTTTCTAAATCTAAGACACTTAGCCTCCAAAGGAGACAGGCTTGGGGAAGGTTCAGAAGTCTAAGCTACTGTACGCTCACTATTACAGCTTGTTTCTTCACACACCCACTCTGAGTTGGCCTCACTGTGTCTGACACTTTCCCTGTGCACAGGGTATCCTGTCACCTCCACAGGGAAACCCAAACTCACATTAATGTTCAGCGAGCTATATCTGAAAGAAACAATACTGGATTTTTTTTTCTCACTTCCTTGTCTTTCTGGTCATCCCCTTGATCTCAGGATCCAGGCTTATCTTACCTGGGCCAATGTACTGGTCTTCCAGTTAGTTGTCCTGCTCCATTCTTTTTCCTCCTCCATTTTCCAAGTGGAAATTTGGTGCCAAATTAACTTTCCTAAAATAACCCGGCACACGAAACCCTTACAGCAACATCTCTCATGGTTCCCATTTCTGTCTGGTAAATAAGTTCATTTTAATTTTTTGTTCAGGCTACATCTTCCACATTAAAACTGAAAACAAGTGTGCATACCACGGTATAGAGCTAATGAAGCATTTTCGTAGACTCACCTTATTTAATTCTAAGAGCATCATGATAAGACAATGATTGCTATTAGCCATATGACTTCCATATTATCAGAAACTGAAGACCAGAAACGTTATGTCACTTTCCCACAGGTATAGAGCAGAGCAAAAGAAAATGTCTATTTTTCATATTCCCTCACATCACCATCAGTGCAGAAGGTGTAAAGATTTCTCCTTAGTAACAGGCAAGCAGGCAGTTCTGCTGCGGGCACCAGCTGAGTGTCCCTTCACCCCATTTGGTTCTAACACTAAGACAGCAGCAGACTTACTGGTTGTAGGTACAGTCACCAGGGCTGTTTGCTTCCTCTGATACCAATCACAGCCCAAGGTTATTTCGCTGGTGTTTCTGACCAGTCATCTCTAGACCAAGACCCTTTCCTCTGTCTCAATTAACCTGGTAGAGCACTTTAGAAGACTTAAAGAAATGCTCACATTTACTGGTTTGCTATGACACATTGCAAATGTCACAGATGAAGATGGGAAAAGCATGGAGCTGCCACGCCTGCCCTGGAATTGGCATTCCTCCAGGAAACACTGACATCCCACACACCCTTCCATGCTCAGCTGCCTGGAAACTCCAAATCCTATTCTTCTGGTTCGATGTGAAGACTTTATTGGGAGGTATGACTGAAGCATGGCCATTTTTACTTAAATGTGAAGGGACAAAAAGAGCCTGACCTAA